TTTTTCTTGTGTGCCCATCCATGTAACAAATAGGTAATTTTGGAGTCAGCCACACATTTCTCTCCTGCCTCTTCACCTCACCTTGAGGGAGATTAGTAACGACAAACGTCTTTCACCTCTATCTCCTGCAGTTTAGTGAATGAGCTGCCTTCCTAGGCCATTGAGCAGTCAGACAGAACAGACAGAAAATAACATGTGTTGGTCTATGTCCTGTGGTCACCCCAGTTTTGTCCCTGCAGTGTTTCCAACCAGCCTGAGTAATCAGAGAACTCTGCGTGGGACTCTGTCCTTGGGACTGCACACACTAAGGCACTGAACTGCAAGCATCACATTCCCTGTTCTGTGGAACATGGCTCTGTTCAACATAACAGGGATAAACAATATTAAGAGCTACATGGTTTTATCCTCCAAAGAATTCTTAACACAGTCTGAAGAGGCAAAGATACATAAAGCTCTTACAGTGTTAGACAAAGACTTCCTTGATGTGACAGGGATCATGGAGATTGAGTGCTCCCTCATGAAAGCAGACAGTATTGCTGCCTGCAGAATCAGATCTAACAAATAACTATGCTTGGGAAATAAAAATAGAACAAAGTCCTTCTGTCATTTGGCAACTATGGCTTACTGAGATTTTGGTTGTGTTCCACACCTCATCTCCTCAAGGAAAACTTAGAAATTCAAAATAGCCCTCGTTCACTACACACATATTAAATGACTCAACTATGTGAAAGTATCAAATACATGCAATTCCCACACTAAAAGAATAGAAATTCAAATCTGATCTTCTTAATTAAGAACTCAGAATCCAACAAGTTCATTAGTATGAAAATAAGGCACTAGAATATATTTTTTTAAGTATTACTAGAATAAGGACATGTATACCAGGCACACATCAATACAATTCAGGTGAATTTGAAAATACAATTCTTGCTGTTTAAATTATTTGCCTATATTATTATTACTTGATTATGCCTTGAAATTGTAGCCCCAAACTTTCAAAACATCATGTTAATTTTTTTCTTATTAAAACATCCAATTATTTTCATTAGTTCCCTGTAAAAGTTCGAGAAAAGCAATAAGGATTTTAGCCAAAACACAATGTAGTAATAGTATGTAGGAGAGTAAAAAAAAAGGCGGCACTTTTTTTGGGAACTCCTGGGAAAATATAAAGAGCTTTCCATGGAGACTCTAAGGTCAGAAAGAGGGAAAAGTAATGACGCTTGCTTAGAACAATGTAAAATTATGTAAATTTAAAAAGCAGGCTAACCCATTATTGCACATAACATACTTCTGAAGACAAACATGAATATACACAGCATCTTACCTGTACAGTAGGAACATCTGTAAATGCCTTAATAAAATCATCCTCATCCACAGCTCCAGCTCCTCCTTCTTTAGAGGAACCTAAATAAACATAAAATACTGTTAAACAGGATGTAATATACATCAATGTTTGAAATATCTTACAATCGTCTTCCACCATACCTACTTTCAAACATTTAATATATCTTACAAAAATGCTGCATTTTTGTGTAGAATTGTACATCATGTGCAGAATCACAAGACTTTGAACTCTGACTTAACCATAAGAAAAAAAAATAACCTTTTTTTGCCCCAAATGAACAATTCCAAGTAATTTCCAATTCGACAACTTTAATGGTGCGATAATTTTTATTTTTGTGTCTAACTGGAAACGTGTTTTGCATAACAATCCTCTAGCAGCAGCTTGCATTTGATTCTGAGACCTGCACCCTGACAATATAAAAATGTTCTAAAATAAAGCCCCAAATTTCAAATTATTTACCAGAGCAAGAGCTATTCATCACTAAATGGAATTCCTCAGGATGAATTTTCATCTTAACATATGTGCCTTAAGTAATCAACCAAAAAGTCTGGGGGTTGATTTTTTTCTTTTCCAGTATGCTCACATGAAGCTAAGAAGTGTGAGGTACACTTCTTAGTCTTAAGGTTACAAGATCTTCAACAACAAAAGAAAAGACACAGTGAGGAGAATTTGCACTGGAGCAAAATCTGAACTTCAGTGACCTTATTTTCAGACCTCTCACGATGGAACTGTTCTCACATGACAGCCAAGATGCCCAGCTGAAGGACCAGGGAAGAATACTGACAGGTAACCTGCTGGTTTCACACTGGTAAACCTTGCAAATTGTATTAACATCTTGTCTTAGAAGCTAAGACAACTCTAAGCAAGAAAACTACTTGGAAACAGTGTCTGGATTTTGCTCTCCTGAAAAAACTCAGTTTATCAAGAAAGCCCCCTTTTTAAAGAAATGAGCTCAAGTTTGCTATCAAATCAAAGGTCATCAAATCCAGGCTATGCTACAAGTCTAGAACTCCAAGCATAAGGTGAAGCTTGGAAAATCCTTAAGTATCTTCAATAATTGCATCAGGAAGGTAATATGAAAAAACATATTAACCACATGGAATCAGTCCAGCTGAACATTTCCTTCATGAAAGGAAAAACATAATCTGTCATAGCAAATGCGCATTTGGGAACAAGTGCCTCTTTCAGAGTGAGGTCTACAGGGTAGAAGGCAGTATGTCCTTCCTAACTGGCAGAATGAAATGGAGGCATCACAAAGAGAAGACAAATATTTCACTAACTACAGAACAAATAAAAACCATAAAGAAAAAGCATTTAAGAGGCTGAATGGTCAACCAAGAACAAAAAGGTAGGAATTCTAGATGAATCAAATTTTTGGTGGCTGCACTCTAAGAACCGTGGTTTACAGACCCTGATCTCTTAATTCTAGTGAAGGAAGTGATGCCTGCTGTCTTTGTATACATGTCCAGTTTGGAAGCACCAGGGTGCACTACTTCTACAAATTTGGTGGCAAACTTACTAGATCCCAACACTGTTGTGCAGAACAAGATGTCTCATATACCTTTGTGGCTCATTAGTGTAAAAACACAGAACCTGAACACACTACCTGCAGTATGATATAGGAACATCTAATCGATTTTGAGCGCCTTAGCTCAAGGATGCTGCAAAGAGATGCTGTACACACACATTTCAATGTGTGTATCTCCAACACCATCTGTCACAACTGCCAGTGGCAGCCAGAAGAGCAAAAAGAAACCATAACCACCTATTTCTTCTCCTTCCAGAGAGCAGAGGGAACAAAGCCTTCCACAAAGTTAATGACCATTTGACCAGCTAAAAAAAATGAAGAGGGGAAGATTCATCTACACCCAGAACACACCCTTCTGCCACACAAACTTATACATCTCTTCAAAGGGAGAATATCCTTGTCAGAGCAGAATTCTGTGGAGAGACAGCTTGAAAGAAATAATTTGGCCCAGAGGCACCACGTTAAAGTAGGTGGTACAAACAGCTGCTTAGATGCTCAGATCATCACCTCATTTGTTTGGCCATAAATACTCTGACATTTAAGGAAGTCTCATAGAAACAAAATAGAGTCAATGCACAATACCTAGTCATCAAAACAAAATAGAAAAGTAAGGTTATAAAAGTTCTGTATTATTATTCAGTTACATAAATACAAAAATACCTATGCTAACACAGGGAAAACAAGTACTTTGCATTCCATCCTTTACTTACCAATTTTTTTTTTCCAGGGAATAAACTACAGAAACATTACAAATTGACACATATAGACCATGAACACAAAAATATAGAAAAATGTTTGGGTTTCAAGTATTTCTAGCTCACTGCTGTACATCATAAAGATTAAAAGAAGAATAAGTTGCCCTTGCTAAGTAAGTACATGCGGTCACCTTCAGTCTGCCCTGAAGTATCCCTTTTAAAATTAGGAAACAGCATGTGTTACATGACAGATATTTCTAGCACCTGAACATCATCTAGTAATGCATCCTGAGGATTAAGGAAAATCCTTTATCCAAAGAATAACAATTTTTTACTTCAAAACGAGACAGAAGAGGGACAGACTACTATTTAAAATCCATTTGACATAGTCCAGACACAGAGAACTCTCCATCTTCCTGAGTTTCAACAACTAGTTCACATCTACAAACCAATTTTCTTTCTCCAGAAGTTGTTTTATTACCTTGTTGACTGGTAAAAAAAAAAATATATGGTTCAAAGTTATTTGTAAACCACATTTCACTTCTATTTCACTGATCCTTCTCCTCAACTACATGATGGCATATGCATACCAGAACAAAGTATGAAGTAACTTTTCTTCATATAGTATACAAGTGAAAAGTCCACACTGCTTAAAGAGAAAAAATACTGTTCAATTTTTCCCTTTCCCTTTTAATCTCTCTGTAAGTATTTTTACCAATTCTGTTTACCAAGTCACTGTTTCTGTAGAGACAATCAAAAAATGACAGAACTCCACCTGCTGTTTCCCAATTCAGGAGAAAGTATTTTACTGTGCTCACAAGATACATAACAGTCATACACATGCAGATGCCTTCAAAGGATCTCTCATGCTTTTGTAAGGCTTGACTCTCCTCCACAAAAGCAACACCAGAGCTTTTCTAAATTCTCAGTTCCAGACAGTGCTGCCTCCAGACCCCAAACTGATATATCTGACAGAGCACACATATAAGCTGTTTTGTTGCTTACCTTCTCAGACCAAGCTTGTGATTACAAATTTCTTGTATCTCTCTCTAGTATTAATTCCTTCCACTGAACAGTGCCTGTTCAAGGCTCCCAGCAGAACACACAGTCCTTTGACCAAATAGGGACAAGTTCAGCCACTGCGTTCCTAAAGGCAGGAACACTATAAACAACTCTAGGGGGCTTTAACCCCACTGCATTTTTAACATCTTTAAGTGCTCAGCACACAGCTAAAATTCAGAGCCTCATGAGCTGGGTAATTATATTACCCTGTCTTTGGACTTGAATCCAACTGAGTTTTTTTTCAGCTGAGACCCAGAAGAAAAAATTCTCTCATGGAGAGGAAGAAAAACACACGCAAGACATTTATCTACATTGTTTGTTAATTTTCATTTCTAACCTTTACTTTTTCTTATCCTTCAAGCCTTCTATTTAGACAGACTCTCAGAGAGCCCTGGAAGCCTCAGTTCCACTTCAGGAAGCTGGTGAGGATATACCAAACATAATAGACAGACATGAAATGGAAGCATATCACGGCACCTGAAGCGCCTCTCAGTTTTACAGTGGCGTGGTGGGGGTTTGATAGGTTTCTCTTTTTTGTGTGTGCATTTTCAGGTTTGTTTTGTTTTTTAAACTGAAGCTCAGTGAGTTTAGAAATGGAAGCAAAAAAAAAAAAATCCCTCATTTCCTGCAGACTGCTAACAGAGATGACACTTTCATGAGTTAAAGGTCTCTAACACTTTGCAAGGCCCTGGGAGTCTTCTTTTGGAAGAAGGTTTATTCCAGTCATAAGGCTGAGTTCAGCACTGGGAATAACTCAACACCAGAAAGGGTACTGTATGCAAGCAAGGGAATTACCCAGCCTTTTGTGAAATCAATTTTTTTCATCCAGGAGTTAATTCCTGTGGTTGAATTCTTCCACTCTTCAGACTAAAGCACTTGAAATACTTCCAATATATCACAACTTTGGAATGTTCATTTGCTCTACTGCCTTGATGCTCTCCCCAGTATTATCTACAAATCTGTACATCATGGGATGACAAAACAATATGGAAAAACAAAGATGCTGATGTGATTTTGCACTTGTATTCCTGTTTTGAAAAGAGAACCGCCTATTCAAAGTATGTCTAACTGTTAAATAAAGTACACAAGTGATGGCTTAAAAGTACAAAAAAATTCCTTCATTTGTATTTGGTAGCAGGCCTTTACTAGTCAAATTATTTTTTTTCCACTTTCATAAGTCTTTTGACAAAAATTTCAAACAAAAAATTTCCCTGTGAAAAAAGGGTATTTCAGGGTATAGAAACTTAGGAGTAACAAATACTCTAAAATGGTTTCACTTTTTGTTCCTAAATCCCTTTCTCGAAATGTTTCCCTAAAAATATTTAACTATTTTCTGATACAACATGCATCACAATTTAACATTAGTTGACTCTGAAAGGGATAGTGTTTCTCAGATGTCTTTTATCCCTCAAAAATCTCTAACTGTAGGCAATAATTATCTTACTTAAAACATATCTACAGTAAAATGATGCAGAGTACATTTTTTTTTTTTTCTGAAATACAACAAAATGTTTTGCCTTTGTCCCACCTAGTTCAAAAGCTTCATTTCTTATCTATCAGAGACTGAAGCAAAAGATGCAGTTCATTCTGAACTGAAAGAAAAAATGACTGTTACCCTTTTGGCTTTGTAGGTTAATCAACAATCAGCTGTAAATTAGGAACAGACAGCAGCTTCAGCTCTGCGTGGGATAAATGGCCAGGATAAGCTCAAGTACTTACTCAGCTTTTCATATAATAGGTTAACTGGCAACTCCCACTCACTCCTACTGACCTC